AAGAAGGCCCCTGATAAATGGACGCTGTGGTCTTTGCCTTTATAAGCTGGCTAGTCACTTCTCCTGGCAGCTGCAGTTTAGGGAAGGGCTTTTAGCTTCCTTGCCACCCAGCTATAGCTGAATAAAGACTCTTGTAAATTAAAAAAAAAGATATATATAAAGAACTATATATTTTTTTTAATTGAGTACAAAAAGAAGGCTTAGAAACTGATTGTGGAAGCAATTGTACATTCTACTTGATGTGATTGAAATTGGGAATTATATGTTATTTGTGTTAAATCCCAACTAATAATAAAAATAATAAAATAGTTTATTGAGTTAAAAAAAAATGCATATACTATGCAGGGCTTTAAAATTTTCTATCACAGTTTTTGATACATAATAGACATTCCAAATTTCATATTTACTATTGCTAGTATTTTATTCTGATTGAATTTTTATTATCATTTAAATAAAAACTCTCATATATAGTCTAAAGGTTAAAATACACTGTGTGTTTAGACTGCTAATGTACTTATTTTTATTTCTCCAGTGGAAAGTTCGAAGAACTTTAGCATTTTCTATCCACGAGCTTGCAGTTATTCTTGGAGATCAGCTGACAGCTGCAGATCTAGTTCCAATTTTTAATGGATTTTTAAAAGACCTCGACGAAGTTAGAATAGGTGTCCTGAAACATTTGCATGATTTTCTAAAGGTAATTTACTTACTTGTTCTTGCATAAAAACACACTAATATTCTATACTGAAACTGACATTTTTATTTTCTGTTATCACCAACATAGCATGACTTCTGAAGCTCTGTGTAAGAAAAGAAGGAAGCCCGGTAGCAGCGGTGGTTACGCACTTGGCTCTTAAGTTCTGTGTAAGAAGAGGGGTCCTGGTGGAACTCGTGGTGAAGCACTACTGCTGAACCCATCAGTCGCTCTCTGGAAGAGAGAGTCCTTTTAGAGGACATTTCTACTCTGTCCCGTAGAATTGGAAGAGAGTCTATGGCAACATTTTTGTTTTTAGCATAAGAAATTATAACTGAGTTGATGTTGTGATGTGACTTCAAAGAAGAAATAGTTTCAATCTGATCATTTGCTTGAGTCATGTTAATTTGTAACTTTAAATTCTCACAGCCATAGAGTCAATGCTGACTCATAGCAGCCCCTTCTGGGCTTTCGATACTGTAACCGTTTACAGGAGTAGAAAGCCCATCTTTCTCTGGAGCTGCTGGTGGTTTCGAACTGCCAACCATGTGGATCACAGCCCAATGCATAACCACTACACCACCAGGACTCCTAACGTAAAATTAGGTGCACTAATGACATTTTTAACTTATGGTGGATAATAGTTAGATTTTATTTTTGAAGTTCATGAATGATATATGCTAAAAAGTATTATGAACATTAAGCTTAGAGACTTTATATGCTATTATAGGGATCTGAAGATTTACCTTTCATCTTCATTCTATTCATATGGCAATCACTGATTTCCAACGTGAACAGCCCTGATTTTTAGCATATTATTTCATCTTGGCATACTATGTTTTCTTAAATATTAGCCTTAAAATTAATTCTTTAATTTTGAATTACAAAAGTAGTTATAATCCTACTAAGAAGTAAATTGTGCTAAAGAGCATTAACATATTATTAAAATGTCATAGAGAAATTTCTGTCCTCTGTTCTCTATTCTGAGAAGGACCCCTGATATTTTTTAGCGGCGAACAATATTTGAAAAACAAGCTCTGGGCACTAAATGTCCTCGTTTCTACTGGGTTTTTTAGGACTTTTTAATGGACAGAGGTTGAGAGATTTTAATGTTTTAAATTACTGACTTTGTATCTGTATCTTCACCTCTAATGCAATACTACTGCTTTTCTCATAAAGTAAAAACCCTGCTTCTAACAAGATCAATATATTTACTTATTTGTTCAATTATATGATAAAATGAAATTCGTTTCAGAATTATTTCACCAACAGTAATTCCAACATCAATGTTCAAGATTTTTCCCAGTACTTTCTCTTTTACAGCATTTGCCATGAAGTGGAAAACAGCTTTTTGCTAAGTGAAAATCAGATTTTTTCACTTATGTGATTTGATATTTAGGTTTTGGATTTTCCTCCCATATTGATTATAAACCTAATTTAAAATTTTCAGAATAAAATTTATTTTTATGTATTTCACTCAAACATTTTTTGAACACATATGTCCTGGCAAAGTATCATTTATTAAGCCTACATAACAATGAAAGAGCATAATCTCTTCACAGAGTCCATGATTTCATGGAATGACAAAATTATTTGGCATAATATAGTTCATTTTAAAAATCACTTTTTGCGTGCTTAAGGCAAAAGCTCGCACTCTGAACCCAGTGCCTGTGTAAAGTTCCTGTGTAGATTATTTAGTGGCGCTGCATGAGTCATCCCCGTTCATTATTTTTCTGGTTGTGCCTTGCAGAGGCCTCTGGTTTTCCTATTCCCATTTCAACTTTGTCTGAGAGTAATTTCTGAACCTTTGGTCTCCTAAAAATGATCTTTTAAAATAACTCATTACTTACAGGCTGCTAGTCTTTGTTTTATGAGCACATCTGTTTTTTGGCTAAAAGGTTGCCGCTCTAAGGCTAACTTTGGTGTATGTGTTAGAGTATCTGAACATAATAGTCTTAGAATGTCCTTCAGTAAGTTTGGACCTTTTTAAGAATTTGAGTTCTGATCTTCATTTTTCTCCTACCAGGATTTATCTGGATAGATTGCTATAACAAAAAGGTCAACAGCTATTTTAAAGTATAGGTGAGCAAGGTTGTGGAGCAAGAGGGTTAAAGAATGGAAGTGAAAAACTAAAGGAGAAATGAGAATGTTGGCCTAATCTGAAGAAAGTGATTGGTTTTCTATCCGGAAGCAAAGAATGGGAGTATGTATTGCTGAGTATAGTTTCACCAGAACTAAAAACAGACGGTAACAAGAGTGGCAGAAGAATGTAGTGAGTGAATAGTGAAACTATGCACAGCTATGCACAGTAGCGTTCAGTGAGGGCCGTGAACAGTCTCAAGAGACAAAGATCTCAAAAGGAGATTATGCGCAGTGTAAATAGGAATTATTCAGGGGAAATTAATTTAGTACCAATTTCAAATCATGAGGTGCAGGTACTCCATTTCTCCATTTTTCAAATAGAATGACTATATTACTTTTATTTACTAGCAGTATAATAAAAAATGTATATAATTGTGGTAAATATTTTTATTTTATTACGTAGCTTCTTCATGTTGACAAAAGAAGAGAATATCTCTATCAGCTTCAGGAGTTTTTGGTGACAGATAATAGCAGAAATTGGCGCTTTCGAGCTGAACTGGCTGAGTAAGTTTCAACAATGTACTAGATTATGCTTTAGAAGGGTTTGCATTTATTTCATTTTTACTCATTTGGGATTTGTATGCTGTAAAATGGATCTGCTGGCAATCGTGTGTGTGAGAGGGAGAGATGAAAGGGCTTCAAAAGGTTCATTAACTTCCATTAACTGTTCACTCAATTTGTCCACAAATGTTTCAGAGCCCTTTGATATACATAACATACAATCAATCACTCGTGATAGGTAGTGTGTTCACAGTCTAACAACTATTGTGACCATCTCGTTCCACGTTACCTCAACAGAAAAACTTGGGGACGTGCCCTGGGGAACCCCCTCTGACCAGGGAGCGGATCCAGCATGCATTGGGAAGCTAGAGAGTTTGTTTAGTTAGTTTGTTTTTATTGTTTTTCTCTGTATGAAATCCAGGATAGGGAAATCTAGAGACATAGTACCTGCACTGATGCTTCTTGTGTGGGTATCGCGGGAGGTTGGAAGGAAATGGGGCGCTAATAACAATAAGTAAAAGGAAAAAAAACCATAAGTAAAAGAATGAAGAAAGTGTTCTAAAACTAAATGTCATTGTACAACTCTTCTTGATGTAATTGGACTGTTGAATTGTATGATAGATGAACTTATGCCAATAAAATTGTTGGGGGTGGTGGTGGCAACTTTTTCCCCTTAAGCAATCATTCTTCTTTTTACCCTTGTCCTTAATCCCTGGTAACAACTAAATATGCTTTCTATAGCTGTTGACTTGCCTATTGTGCATATTTCATGTATATGAAATCGTACAACATGTGGCCTGTGATTTGCAGATTTACCTATTCTGGATATGTCATACATGAAATCTTATATGTGACCTTTAGTGTCTGGCTACTTTTATTGAGCATAATGCTTTCAAGGTTCAACCATGTTGTAGCATATACCATGATTTCATTTCTTTTTATGACTGAATACTATTCCATGGTATGGATACCACATTTTCTGTATATCGAGTGATGTACTTGGGTCACTTTTTAACATTGTGGCTATTGGGGAAAATGTTGCTGTAAACATGGGTCTCTGAGTCCCTGGTTTCCCTTCTTTCGGGTTGGAGTTTCTGTGTTACACGGAGTCCTAATGATATTGTGGGTTAGGCATTGGTTGAGAGAGTTCAAACACACCAGCTTTCCTTGGGGAAGACGTGAAGCTATCTGCCCCTGTAAAGACATACACTCGAAAACTCTGAGTAGACTTGCTGTGAATTCGAATCAGTTCGATGGCATTAAATTTGTTTTGGTTTGGTTGTATGGGGATTCTGTTTAATTTGTTGAGCAACCAAAACTGTTTTCCACCATTTTACATTCATACTAACAATAAATGAGGATTGCAATTTCTCCACATCTTCAATAACACTTGTTGTTTTGTTTTTTCTAGTTGTAAATTATAGCCACCCCAGCAAGTATGAAGGTGATCTCTTACTGGTGTTTTGATATGCATTTCCCTGGTGACTAATGAGAACTGTTTTTATAAGGACTTTCCCCATTAAAAAAAGCATTTTATTGGAGGCTCATACAACTCTTAACCACAATCCATACATACATCCATTGTGTCAAGCACATTTGTATGTTTGTTGCCATCATCATTCTCAAAACATTTGCTTTCTACTTGAGCCCTTGGTATCAGCTCCTCATTTTCTCCCACCCTCCCCGTTCCCCTCTCCCTCATGAACCCCTGGTAATTTATAAAGTATTATTATTTTGTCATGTCTTACACTGTCCGACATCTCCCTTCACCCACTTTTCTGTTGTCCGTTACCCAGGGAGGGGGTTATATGTATATCCTTATAAATGGTTCCCACTTTCTATCCCACCTTCCTTCCACCCTCCTGGTATCACCACACTCACCACGGGTCCCCAGGGGATCATCTGTCCTGGATTCCCTGTGTTTCCAGTTCATATCTGTACCAGTGTACATTCTCTGGTCTAGCTGGATTTGTAAAGTAGAATTGGGATCATGATAGTGAGGAGGAGGAAGCATTTAAGAACTAGAGGAAGTTGTATGTTTCATCGTTGCTACACTGCATCCTGACTGGCTCATCTCCCTGCGCCCCTTCTGTAAGGGGATGTCCATTTGTCTACAGATGCGCTTTGGGTCCCCACTCCGCACTGCCCCTCGTTCTCAATGATATGATAATTTATTCCTTGATGCCTGATACCTGATCCCTTCGACAGCTCGAGATCACACAGGCTGGTGTGCTTCTTCCATGTGGGCTTTGTTGCTTCTTAGCTAGATGCTGCTTGTTTACCTTCAAGCCTTTAAGACCCCAGACGCTATATCTTTTGATAGCCGGACACCATCAGCTTTCTTCACCAAATTTGCTTATGCACCTGCTTTGTCTTCAGTAATTGTGTCGGGAAGGTTGAGCATCATGGGATGCCAGTCTAATAGAACAAAGTATTCTTGCATTGAGGGCGTACTTGAGTGGAGGCCCAATGAGGGACCTTGCCCATTTTAAAACTGTTGTTTGACTTTTTGGTTTTGAGATATATGAGTTCTTTATATCATCTGGATTCTAGAATCCACTTTCATTTTTAAAAGATACTTTTGCTGGTTATATAATTAGAGGTTAATAATCTTTCCAAACATTACAATGTCTTCCATTTAGTTACACAGCTTGCCCAACCTGTAACAAAAAAACCTGTAATGATGTGCTGGACACAATGTATGTATGGATGGACTGTGATAAGAGCTGTAAGAGCCCTTGTGTTAGTCTGGGTGAACTAGAGAAACAAAATTCATAGACACGCATATTTTATGAGAGTTTCATATAAAGGGTAAGTGTACTTTAAGAAAGCATCCCAACCCAGTCCAGTCCAAGCCCATAAGTCCGACATCAGCCCATATGTCCGATACCGTTCTAAAAAGTCCTCCTCAAACTCACAAAACACATGCAATGATGCCGAATGCAGGAGGAAAGCGGAATCAGTGAGCATGTCAGCATCTCAGCGCTGCCAGGGGTCTCCACTTAGCTTGTCTAGTACCCAGGGATGCATCAGGGTAGGTCCATGTGGCTTCTCCTCAGGGATGTCTTGCAGGAAGTGAGCCTTGCCAGCTGAAGCAAGGAACTAGCTAAGGCAGCTTGACCCTGGTCCAACCACCAGAAAGCAAGACCAGACAGGCGAGGCTCTCTGCCCCTTCAATGAATCGCACATGTGTTCATCAGCCAGGTTGGCACAATAAACCTTAACTATCACAGCCCCCATTAAAATGATTTTAAAAAGACAAACAAACCAAACCTGTAATGATTTCTATCATTGATACTCAAATACCTTTTATTCTGACTCCTTTCAAGATTTTCTTTAAAATGTTTTTTAGCTGCGTGTTTATAATGCATCTATGACTAGAAAGTTTATTATTATTCTTGTTAATTGTTATTCTGGCGTTAAGCTGGTTTTTGAGCTTCTTAGATCTGTGAGGTGTGATGTCTTTTGTTTTTGGAAAATCGTGGGCTAATCTTTCTCTTCAGATAGTTTTGCCACCGGATTCTTTCACTGGTCTCCTTTCGGGAGTCCAGTTCATGTGTGTTCGAGCACTTGATAGTTGTTTTTACAGCACTTGCTATCATCTCTTGACCTGTTAAGTGCTTGACTGCTAACTGTTCAAAGCCATCAGCCACTGCAGGGCGAACGATGAGGCAGTCAGCTCCAGAAGGCAGCCGTGGCAATGCAGGCCTTTCTGTTCTGGAGCGGTGCTATGGGTTGGAGTTGATTGAATGGTAATGATTTGACTTGATTTGGAGAATGTTAAGGTTTACTAATTTCTTCTGCTGTGTTCACTCTCAGAGTTTTTCAGCTCTGGTAGCAATTTCATTCGACTCTTACAGGTTTTACTGAAATTCAGTCTGCTGAAATTATTCACTTACATTATCTGTCTTTGACAGGAAAATATTTAAAAATAGTTAACCTAATTTTTAAAGCTTTAATCTAAAGGATCCCTAGTGGTGTAGAGGTTATGTGTTGGACTGCAATCAGTATAACCAGCGGTTTGGAAACACCAGGTGCTCCTCGGGGCAAAGGAAGCTTTCTACTCCTGTGAACAACGACTGTCAGAAACTCCAGAGCAGTTTTACTGTGTCCTGTACGGTCGCTATGAGTCAGCATAGACTCAATGGCAGTGGGTTTGGGTTTTTTGGGAACCTGGTTGGTCTGACAGCTGTGTCATCTCTGATTGTACACGGGGGGGCCCAAAAAATGGAATTGTGTTGGGCGGAGCTTTTATATTACACATTTTTCTTGCTGGGAAAGCATCGAGGAGTCTGAGGGTTCTCCCACTCGAACGTTAAGAGATCTCTACTCTCGGGATCAAGGGGGAGCGCCCAGAACGCATCTTTCAACCACTCATGCTCTTTGGGGATTCTGCTGAGGAGAGTATAAGGGTTGGGAGCTACTGCGTGATGGTTATGGACCGTTTAACTTACGGCTTTCAGGTCTTGGACCAGTCGATGTGTTCCATCAGTTTTCTTACCTGGGAGAACTGGAGGATGATAGAGTTCTGTGAGACCCTCTCTCCCTAGGCCCTCCATAACTGACTATAGGCCCTTTCTCCCCACAGTGAGGATAAGGTACTATTTTCTACAGATCACTACTCCTGGTTCTCTCGGTTCTACTTACAAGAGTGTAATCTCCAGCTCCCCTATTTCTTTATTAAACCCATACCTGAGTGGGGTAGACTAGGGAAACAAAATCTAGTGAAACTCATACAAGGGAGTACCCCAAAAACCCTGGAATTTTTCTCAATGATAGGTATTTAAAAAAAATTTTTTTTTAACAAAAGTTTATCGCCTTCTGAGTACTCTCTATGACAGTTAATACATTTGTTAAATCTACAATTCTATTCTTGGAAACCTTTTTCAAACTCATTTGTTTGGATGGCCAACAGCACCTACCTTGTTTTTATCTTCACTTTTTCTACATTTTCAAGTCACTGTCTTTTCATGTCCCTCTTTGTTCATGGAAACAAAAAGAAGTTGCACAGAGCAAGATCACGTGAGTAAGGTGCATGGGGCAAGAGAGGCATGCTGTTTTTTGCCCAAAACTGGATCACTGAGATGGCTGCATGAACAGGTGCATTGCCGTGGTGGCAAAACCAGTCATCCACAGATCAGGCCTTTTTAATTACACACAATTACACAATCTTTTCATAAGCTCTAAGTAGAAAGCTTGATTAAAGTCTGAGCTGGTGGAATGAACTCCAAATGCACTACAAGTCAACATTTTCTTCCTTTTGTGAAATTGACAAATGTCCAGAATGAGGTTTGTCATCAATTGATAATTCACCTTTTTTGAAAGAAAACTTGAGTTTTTCCCATAGCACTGTACTTAGAAGCAGTGTTCAACATTGCATCTGTTTCTGGGGCATTTTTCCAGAGTAGGAAATAAAATTTCACAACTGCACACTTTCCTCTTAAATTGGCCATCACAAAAAAACGAGGTTTGAGTGAAACTGCTTTTACATAAAAGTTCACTGTGACCAAGGAGAACCTTCGCAGGCTACTCCACTGGGTGCACTAACTCAGAGTGAGTTGCTCGATGCTCGTCTACGGGGGGGGGGGAAATGCATACTACGAAAGCTCCTCTCCACCCAGTGCACTTCCGTTTTTTGGGGGGGATACCCCCTCGTATGTGTAAGAGAGTATTTTATATCAAAGAGCAATTGGATATGGAGAAAACATCCTAACCCAGTCCAGATCAAGCCCTTAAGTCCACTATTAGCCCACATGTCTGATACTAGTCTATAAATTTCTCTTCAGACTCACATAGTACATATAGTGAGGCCAAAGAAAGAAGATCACAGGCTGGTGGTTGGAAAGTCTTGTGGATCCAATGGCAGTGGATGCATCTCCAGGGCTCTGGCTTGCTCTCAGTGTGGCTCCATGTGGCTTGTCTAACAAGAAGGTGAAGCAGAGAGAGAGTGAGTCCCGCCCCCGAGGAGGAAGAGGTTACCAGAATCCTCATGAAAAGTCCACGCCTGCAAGGAGGCTAGATTTCACTCCCACACTTATTTTTCAAGTTGACATGAAAACTGCCACCGACCGCCCCTTGTCAACATGACACCTTTACACCTTTAGCCATATATAATTTTTAAAACAAGGACAATAGTAAAATCATATTTGCGTCTAACAGGATAAAACTAAAATGTATACAATTCAACATGTGCCAGCCTCATTTAAACATAATATTCTGTAAGCAACAAAACACAAATATTCTATGCTTAACAATTGCAGTTATGTAAACACCACACTATAATCCTATGAACCTATTCCCCCACCTATGTAAAGTTTGTAAGCTGGCCCTTTCATGCCTTTATCCCTCCCCGTTGTGCGTAACCAGTTTCTATACTGCCCACTTGGATCACACCAGCGCTCCGAGGAAACAGCATGTTCTTTGCTGTGAAGAATCTGCATGCCAGTTGGTGGCCGAGCTTCCCTGTGCACTCGTCCCTCCTGTGCTGGAGGTGCCCCGCACATCTGAGAGTTGCTCTGTCCCTTTCCATCCATTTCCCTTCAGCAGGGCAGAGCTGTCAGATCATGACTCTCGCTCAGCTTGTATCCAAGATGCATCTCCATCACACACACTGAACCCTTGAAAATGCCCCATCACCAGGACAGTACTTACAGTCCAAATTTCTCACCCTGGCTCGTGCACAGAGTTTTCTGGTTGCCATCTCGCTCACTAACTTTTGACAGCCCCAGTCTTGTCTGGCTTCCCCTGGGAGACAAACCAGCTTTGTGGAACAGGCTGCCAAAACTGAGGCAAGATTTGTTTCCTTTTCCACCAAAGTGGCTGCTCCAGACAGGCAGAATATGTCCCAGACCAGCCCCTAATTTGTGGGAAACGTTGAAATCCCGGACACCATATTGTTTCCTCTTGGTAGCTGGTAGATTCGTATAAACCTGATCTGGGCCATACTCAGATGGGTCTCTTGAGAGCAAAAACTGGGGCAGATGGCCTTATCCCATCTGAGTTTACCGATGGGCTCAGAATGGGATTTTAACCGACAAACCCTCCAGAAATCCAGTCTACTCACTTTAGTGAGAACGAGGCATATATTTTTCTATTTTGCAAAATCAGGTGTTAAGCCCAGAGACACATCAGCAAAAGGCAGGCAGGAGGCACCTCACAGCCCCTCTGCAAGCATCTTATCCTCTAGTTCACAAGCCCCTGGGGAAGTTACATAACCTGTTGTCAATTTGAGACCTAGAGTGAAGGGATGGGGTTTAGCCTGTCAATCAGGTTGCAGCTTGATGACCTCATGTGGAGGCACTAAAGAGATAAATAGCTCACTGGAGGTGGGTGGGACACACTCTCACTCCCTGTGAGACATTCCTGCTGACAAGACACATGCAGGTACGCTAGAGTCCTGGAGCTGAAGGAGCCACGTGGAGACCCCGGCTCAGTTACCACTGCCACTGGATCCTCAAGACTTTCTACCCACTGGCCTGTGATCTTCCTTCACTCGGCATCATTGCATATGTTTAGTGAGTCTGAAGAGGACTTTATAGATTGATATCAGACATATGGGCTAATAGCAGACTTATGGACTAGATCTGGGCTAGGTTGGGACGTTTTCTCAATATTCAATTGCTCTTGTATGTAAAACTCATATACATATGAGTCTTCCTGGATTTGTTTTACTAGTCTACCTGGATTAACAGACCCCTTCCCCCAATTCCTCATTGGCTGAGTACTATGGGGTAACAATCTTTCCCATGTGGCCTAATGGCTTCTCCCTCTGAAGCAGATATCACCCCTCCCCCTTTCCTATTTCATCCAAATCTCACATTCCATACCCCAGATGCCTGATAATCGTCATAGCTGCTATTAATTGTTCCCTGACTCTGTTCTCTAATTGCTGATGATAGACCTGGCATGTTACTTATTTCTTATAGTACCATGCTAAGGCGCTTCAAAAAGTCAGCTTTATTTTTCCATGAGGTTTAGAAGCTCCTTTGTATATCGGTTTACTTGTCTAATCCTTTCTGCTGATTAGAAAAGTATATACATAAAATCTGAACCGCAGAAGCCTCTTTTCATATCTAATCTTTTAGCACAGGTATTAGGAAAAAGTGTTACATATTCCAGTTGTACATATTTGGAATTAGGGGGAGAGATAACCAGTAAACTTGTGTAATATTTAAATCACATCTCTAAAGTAACAAATATAGCATTAATTTTATGCATAAGAGACCTGGTTATTTCAAATTCTTAATCTTTTTTTGTTCTTCCTTTTATCATTTATTTTTGTAGACAGCTGATTTTACTTCTAGACCTATACGGCCCAAGAGATGTGTATGACTACTTAAGACCCATAGCTCTGAATCTCTGTGCAGATAAAGTATCTTCTGTCCGTTGGATTTCTTATAAGTTGGTATGTATTATACCTTAAGAACAGCAAACTATCTAGCTCAGAAGCAGCAAAGCCCACATGGAAGAAGCACACCAGCCTGTGTGATCACGAGGTGCCGAAGGAATCAGTTATCAGGCATCAAAGAACCAAAAAATCATACCATTGTGTGCTCACCTCCATGATACGATCACTGAAGACAAAATGGGTGCGTAAGCAAATGTGGCGAAGAAAACTGATGGTGCCCGGCTATCAAAAGGTATAGCTTCTGGGGTCTTAAAGGCTTGAAGGTAAATAAGTGGCCATCTAGCTCAGAAGCATCAAAGCCCACATGGAAGAAGCACACCAGCCTGTGCGATCACAAGGTGTTGAAGGGAAGAGAGGTATCAGGTATCATCAGAACAAAAAAATCTTACCATAGTGAATGAGGGGGGAGTGCCGAGTGGAGACCCAAAGCCCATTTGTAGGCCACTGGAGATTCCCTTGCAGAGGGGTCTTGGGGAGGAGATGAGCCAGTCAGGGTGCGATGCAGCAATGATGAAAAATACAACTTTCTAACTTTCCTCTAGTTCCTAAATGCTCCCCCCCCCCCCCCCACTATCATGATCCCAATTCTACCTTGCAAGTTTGGCTAGACCAGAGGATGTACACTGGTACAGATAGGAACTGGAAACACAGGGAATCCAGGGCGGATGATCCCTTCAGGACCAGTGGTGTGAGTGGCGATACTGGGAGGGTAGAGGGAGGGTGGGTTGTAAAGAGGGAATGAATTACAAGGATCTACATGTGACCTCCTCCCTGGGGGCAGACAACAGAAAAGTGGGTGAAGGGAGACGTAGGACAGGGCAAGGTATGACAAAATAATAATTTATCAATTATCAAGGGTTCATGAGGGAGGGGGCAGCGGGGAGGAAGGGGAAAAAAATGAGCTGATGCCAGGGGCTTAAGTGGAGAGCAGATAAGTTTTGAGAATGATGAGGGCAATGAATGTACAGATGTGCTTTGCACAATTGATGTATGTATGGATTGTGATAAGAGTTGTATGAGCCCCTAATAAAAACGATTTTAAAAAAAGAATAGCAAACTATTTTATAATATCGAATGGAAGCTATTTCTCAGTTCACCATTTTAATGCTTGTAGGTTAGTGAGATGGTGAAGAAACTATACCTGTCAGCACTCCCAACATTTGGAATTGACCTCATAAATGAACTTGTAGAAAATTTTGGTCGATGTCCCAAATGGTCTGGTCGGCAAGCCTTCGTCTTTGTATGTCAGGTAAGCTGGGCACTGCAGTCATCCTTCTTTGACCAGTTTTTCTCCTAGAACAGTGTTTTTCTCCCACTTCTTGCCTGTCTCTCTCACCTCCTTTCTTACCCTGAAGGAACAGAACTTTGGCATCTGGCTATTTATAGGACCGCGTGTTCCCTCAAAGTTGGGTATCTGTCTGGTTCTTCCTCTTGAGCTACCTGCCCCTTTATCCGTCCCCCTCAGGCAGCTGAGCGCTTTATCAAGCTGGCAGCATACCATCCCCATCCCCTAGAGGGTGCTCAGTGTCCGTGACCCAGGACTTTACAAACTCCTCGCCTTCACGCAGCACTTTCAAACCTGTGTGGGGGTGGCGGTGGTGGCGGCCTGAGTGGCCAAGTCGCTCGTTTAAAAAGCAGTAACTGTAATTTGTAGCATATAAGTTGTTACTCAGACCTTTTTTTAGTATTTTACCGTTTTATAAGCCACATTTACAAAGAAACCTAAGGCAGTTTTTGTTTTGCTTTGTCTCTTCACTAGACTGTCATTGAAGATGATTGTCTTCCCATGGACCAGTTTGCTATATATCTGATGCCACATTTGCTCACCTTGGCAAATGACAGGGTTCCAAATGTCAGAGTATTGCTTGCAAAAACGTTGCGACAAAATCTATTAGAAAAAGGTAGGTAGGTGACTCTCTTAGTAAAGGTGTGTGGAGGGGAGGGGAGGTTCATAGATAAATATCAGAGTAGAAGTAATGTGTGCTCATAGACAACCTGCTCAAAGGATATATTTTAAGATAGATAGATATACATATATAGGTGTTTATGAGTAGTGGGTTGTCTTTGTAAATCACCGTATAACTTCATGACCTTTGGAAGGAGGTCTGTGTGTTGTGTTAGGGCCCATGTTGTTGGGGAGGGGGGGAAATGTGTTGCTTTTCCCCCTCTTTTTTCATCATAACCATTGTCATTGGGTCAGTTCTAACTCATGGGGACCCAGGACAGAGGATAACTGCGCCATACAGTCTCCAAGGCTGTCAATCTTTATAGAAGCAGACTGCCACATCTTTGTCCTAGGGGGAAGCTGGTGGATTTGAACAGCCAACCTTTTGGTTTGTTGTCAGGCATTTAATCAGTTACACTCCCAGGCTACCTGTTGTTTATCCAGTAGAAATCAAATACTCCAAAGTGTCTGCTTAGCTACCATTTGTGAGCTCCTCACAATTCAGGTGGTCTTATGTAATGTAATACCACCCCCAGGTGTTTCACAAGTACTATTTTTTGAAGTAGTAGACTTCAATAATAAAAATCAATGAATGTTGTGTCTTCCTTTGGAATCAGGTATATTTTTTTTAATAGCAATTATAATGAAATGATTCGTGAGATGTCGCTTTTGTGTATGTGTATATGGTAGGGTTCTTCCTTTTCCTCAACCCATCAGTCCCGAGAAAAGTATAGTGTTTTAATACATTTAATAGTTTAATACTGCCCTTCGAAAACCATACGATTTAATGTCTCATAAAATAATTAAGATCTTTTAACTTGTATTTGGGCTTTTTTAAATGAATTTAACTCAAGTCAATTTGGAATACTGATGTTAATCCATATAGCTTGTTTTTACCTATAGAGAATTTCTTTTACAACTCAGAAATTTTTGTATTTGTGTTCGTTAAAACGATTACATGTTCAACTCATTTTACTTGTCGTCTGTTACTTCCCATGTGCAGACTACTTCTTAAATTCTGCCGGCTGCCATCAGGAAGCTGTAGAACAAACCATCATGGCTCTTCAGATGGACCGTGACAGTGATGTCAAGTACTTTGCGAGTGTCCTCCCTGCCAGCTCCAAGGCTGCCGAGGACGCCATGAGCACAGCGTCTTCCACGTACTAGAAAGCTTGAACCGCAGCGTCTTTCCTGCTTACTGGAGAGCCGAGATTCCACAGACGCTTCTGACCCGTGTGATCTGGGACAGCGTTTTGGAAAGGAGGAAAGACCTTGCTTTCTTACCAGACTTGATTGCAGGTGAAAGTTGCCTATACCTGATACCAGGGATTTTACGAGTCAAGAGAAAGTACAGCAAACACGATTATCTCGACTTTAGGAACATGATTTCTCAGAGGATTATAATGATCACCGAAGCCTTAAACCCTTCCGTCTTCCTCACTGAATGAAACTTGAATTGGCAGAGCGTGTGGATTACGGTAGGGATGTGATCCCCAGAGATAGTGGTTGCTTCTTCCTGGCTTTATCTAACAGCCCCGAGGAAGAGGAGCCAGGATGTGAGAGAAAGCGGCCGTGTTCCTTTAAATGCTTTCCTAGGCCAGGACCTGTGTGGGGTCTGTGGCCTGCTGCCCAGCCCAGCCCTACATGTGGATAGTTTTTTTACTTGTGTAAATGAGAAAAGGAAGTGTTTCTGTTCTTTGTTTTTTCTCTTAAGGGCTTGATGCTAACACTAAAGTAGAACCTGATTTCAACTCTTAAATACAGCATATTGCTGTATACATTTACAGAACTATCTTTGTCCTGATTTTTCTTCCCATGCTGGTCATGAGCTAAAGGAAATTTATTAGCACGTATAATATATGTCAGATATTTTAAACTTGATCATGATTGGCTCTGAAGTGCAGCTTTTCCTTCACATACTGTATCTGTGACCACTCTTGGGAGTGCTACAATCTTTAATCATGCTGTTGTGGCACAGGTTCTCTTACTTGTCCAAATGAACTTTATTAATAAGATCTACATGGAGAGATATATACACTTTTGATTGTTTTCTAGATGTTGGCAAATAAATGCATTGGTGACTTGTATTAATGAATTAGCCTAAAATGGGGGGATGAAATAAAATATTTGTCCTTTAAGTCATTTAGTAGTTTTTTGTTTTTGTTTTTTAAGTCTGTGCTCACAGGGGCAGGTGTTTGGCTCTGCACATAGCAGAGGTACCAGTGAGTGCTGTGCCCCCATTCTCTGCTGTGGGACCCCCCTAGAAGGGGATGTGGACTTGGTGCCTGTCAGAGCCATGACCAGACCATCATCTGAAGACAAAATGGACTTACTGATTTTGGGTTGGTTCCGAGGCTCCTAAGATGCAAGAAAACGCCTCAGCCTGATTTCTTTTTCTTTAAGATGAGTTAGTCAGACGTGCCCTACTTCCCACGCAGTTGATATGCAGTGAAGTTAGATAAAACTTGGAGGGGCTTTTAAATAAAGCACTGTGTGTAAATATTGATTGCTATTGTAAGCCTGACTGAAAAATCCTTGGTCCATCTGAGTATATAGTTCTTGTTTGTTTGTTTTTCTAAGTATATAATTCTTCATTTTCCTTATTCAGCCTGCTATGCTTCTGGTCTTGCAGCCAGAAGAGATCCTTTTGAACTCTAGCTAAGAGCAAACCCCACTAGGGAAACAGACAAGTGGTTAAATCAGTTGGCAGGGTTGGGGCAATGGAGAAAACAGAATGAAGGGGGTAAGAAGGGCTAATGGTCCCAGAAGGCATCTGTGTGAAAGTGGTGATAGAACTGAAAGGAAACGTGAGGGCATGCCCTGAGGTAACAACTTAGACTGATTTTGGAGGTATGTATTCTCTGCGATTACATTACAATCTATAATAATGTGTCCTTCAGGAACTTCAGTTCTGTAAATTGCCTTAGAAGTCTCTATTAGACTGATTTTTCCTCCACGGCAGTGATTTTGGGACAACAAACCTGGATTCAGGCTTGTGGTGTCTAGACTACCTGTAAAGCTCACAATGCACAGTCCAGTTCTTATGCGCTAGATGCTACGCTGCTGTTGTAATCATAATTTCCCAAAGTGAGCCACACCACCCAAGGGTGGTGGATCCAAGGGGGCTACAAAAGTCAGTACCGACCCTCTATCTTGGAGTATAGGTTAGCATCCAATATACAAAGTACTGAAGTTTTTCATTGACAGACAAATTGTTTTTAAATTGCCGAGTGTCTTTGTTTTGTTTTGTTTTCCCCGGAAAAGGGGGCAGTAGGCCCAGTAAGATTGGGAGCCTGTGTATTTCTCCAACAAACACCCTCCAACACCCTCTTGGGTCTCTCAGTGCTCCCCACCCTGTTGAAATTGCAGTTATCATTGGCAATACCATAAGGCACCCTCACTGCTTAATCACATTATACAATGCAATTACGTAGTTGTAGGCTGCGTAATTGCTACTACAATAAAGCAAGAATGATCGGCATCTCTGAATCTCAGTTACTTGTGGTAATGGTGCAGTCGTGGCCTTAATGAAGACTAGTTGAGATGTGACTTCTGCTTTTTTCAGGCATATTTTGAGGCAGCGAGATCTGAGCTGAACATGAGACGCAGGGGTTGAACTCCTGAAGATAACAAGGGTACTGGAATCAACTGGCCTCTCAAATGACAGGATCTAAGGTAGAAAAGTGGACTGCCAAGAATAGTGAGATCAAGCAATCACAGACAGTTATTCATCAATTCCTTTCAAAACCCCCAGGAGGTAAAAACAGAAACAGCAAACCAATTAATACTCAAACTTTTAATTTCACAATGTACAAATGAATAAAATGGTTATAATTGTGTCCTTGTAAATGTTTAATACTGCATTGCTAATATTAGAAGATACTCGGTGATCTCTCAGAACTTTTGAATGAGTGAAAAAGATAAAGAGGAAACTGTAAAATGGCTCATTAGTGGGCCTGTGTACTTAATTACTGCCTGGGTTCTTCTCCAGTCGGAGGGGCCTCCTGGGTCCCGGCCATGGTACTCCACGTGGTCTTTGCAGTTCTGCCTGCAGGGTGAGAAGTGGCCTGTGTGTCCATGGCTGAGGGCACTGACCTGAGGAAGCCAGACTTTCCATTTGACCACTCAGGAACAGTTATTGGTATACAGGTGGCCTGGGTCCTAAAGACAGATGCTTGTCCAATGCCAGACTGATCGTATCTGTAGTACCTGCTAACTTAGAATGAGCCAGTGCCATGTTGCCAAGATGGAAGCCATGGATGATGGTTCTGATGTCCCCAGAGATGCTAGATCTGCCTAGTCGGCTCATAGAGCACCAGTCCCGGGTGACTTCAATGTGCTGGGCAGTTGGTGACTCCCAAGGTCAGGGCGTTGTTCTTCTGCCTGATCAATCTAGGCTCTAGTCACCCAAGGGTGGACATCTCTCCCGGTCAGTTGGATGCTGAGTAGGGTTGAAGAAGTGTTATCAGCCACATCATCCACCCGCCCACTGGGTAAACTTTTGTATGTTGATGTTTTAGTGTGCCCAGGTGTCACCAGTGCAACTCCGGAAAGGTAGAGGCCAACAGAAGTGGAAGGCCAGGCTTTAAAGTGGCCATCTGAGGGGAAAAAGCTGGAGGCCAAGTTACTCCTTTGTGTGGTCATGTTTCTGTGCAAGATAGCAAACAGTGACCGAGGAGCTGAGGGAAGCAGTGAGTGCTGGAGGGAAAGGCAAGTCCAAAGCGAGTGGGCTCATGTTCCCGACGCATACCAGAGAAAAAGGAATTGAGGCTGGAAATTAATGTGGAAAAGCAACACTGTTTTCTGTCGTGATTGAAATTTCTGCCCGAAGATGTTATATAAACTGCCTTCATGTTAGAAGTCATGTTCAGGCTCTGGGTAGAAGCTGCCAAGCACAGCATCTTGCATGGAATCTTTGGGAACACCACCCTGGAAGGATCGTGTTTTTCTGAGCCGTTCTGGATGTGCATGTGCAAACAGTCTTCAAGTAGCCTGGGTAGCCATTGTCTGTAAGGCAAGGTCTGAATCTGTAGAAAAGCTGATATTCTTTTAGGGAAGGGATAGGGGAAGAAGCCTGCCCCTCATCCTCCTCCATCAACTCCTGATTCTGACATCCTGAGTCAGCAGTTCATGGAGGTTCGGGCTGTTTGTGAACTTAAAACTTCCAGAAAGGACACCCTAGGTGGGTAATGTCAATGCAAAAGCTGGAGTGACCAATATGTGAATGCAACATGCTGGCGTGGAGTAGGGAACCAGTGGAGAGGTCTGAGGGGTTGGCCCCAGTGCCAACTACTACGTGGACACCTGCCCCCTCCCCCCAGGAGAATTTATTTCAAAGGACTGCATTGAATCTGCAGCTCCGGGAGAGGGACATATCTGATTGGAGCCCACGGGAGCAGATGAAGGGGGAGGCGGAGAGGGTGAAGCACATCCTGGCCCACCAGGCCCTGAGGACGATGTTCCTGATTAGAGCATCCAGTCCACAGAGAGGACCACATGGCCAACCCCACTATGAGGTATGACGTCCTTCACTGACCCATAGCCCTACAGGGGACAACACTGGAGACACAGTGTCTCCCTTCACCCATGTTTCTGTTGTTTGTTCCCCTGGGGGTAGGGTGTGTATGTGTTATACATTGATCATGCAATCGGTTCCCCTATTTCTCCCCCTTCTACACCCACCTTCCCCCTACCCTCTGGTATTGCTGTACTGTACCTGAGGGGGTTATCATCTGTCCTGGATTTCATGTGTCGAGAGCTCTTATCTGTACCAGTGTACATGCTCCAGTCTAGCTGGATTTGTAAGGGAGAACTAGGAGCATGATAGTGGGTTGGCAGGTGGTGGGGTAGTGGGTAGGGGGGGCATTAAAGAACTATAGGAATGTGGGATTTGTAGGTGCTGTGCTGCACCCTGGCTGACTTGTTCTTTCCTTGTGACCCTTCTGTGAGGTAATGTCCAGTTGTCTACAGATGGGCTTAGGGTCTCCACTCTGACCCCTATTGTTTGCATTGATGTAATTGTTTTGGGTCTTCTGGTGCTTGATACCTGATCCCGTTGATACCTTGTGATAACACAGGCTGGTGTGCTTCTTCCAAGTGGGCTTTGTTGCTTCCCTGCTAGATGACTGCTTGTTTTAACTTCAAGCGTTTAAAATCCTAATCGCTGTATCTCGTAATAGCTGGGCCCCATCAGCTTTCTTCACATTTGCTTAGGCACCCATTTTGCCAAGTCTACTTATTTTGTCGTCAAATTTTCCTGATTTAAATTTGATACTTGCATTTTTCAATGTAGTGTGCCACATGTATCTTTCACCCTGGTTGCTTTTATGGAGTATGAATACCAGTAATTATTTGTTGGATAGAAAATTGATATGGGTGTATTTTTAGATATCACATGAGGAAATTGTGACGTTATCAGGTACTGAACAAGCCTAATCATTTCAGTATCCTGTGTATGTCAAACAGGCGGTCAGCTGAGATCTCTGGCATAACTTGGTGTCTTCGATCCTCACTCCAATGTAATCTTCTCAGTGAAAACTCAGAAGGAAATGTTTGAGAGACAGGAAGACTAGTCCAGTTAGCATAGGGAGTATTCCACAGGGGTTGTTGGGCAGAGGCAGCACACATGTGAGTAAGAGAAGCCCCAGACCCCCCATTACTTAACACCAGCCTACCAGGTAGGAATGGACCAAGTGGGGCAGTGTAGGTTTCTACCAGGTCAGGCTACAAGCTCACTTTTCCTAGTCTTTTATCCTGAGATGTTTCTGGGCATGGTTCTTGTTAACATTTCCCTACTGAAATCATGGCAGTGGTAATGCAGAACAGTGTTCCTTAGATGTTACCAGGCATGTGAGTTGTCTGGGGTTGTTGCTAAAGGTAGGTTCTGATCTAGTAGGTTCCTATGGCCCTTGAAAGCCAGGGCTCCTCACAAGATCCAAGGGGCACTTTTGAACAGTGAAGCCTGTCGTGTTTTTCCCGATTACCTTTTTGTGTTCTTGACCTTTTCTGGATGAACATGATTTTCAGTGTTCTTGTAATGTTTGTATTTTATTTCTTCACGGGCTTTAAAACTCACTAAGTGCTCTCAGTTATTGTAGCTAGGCTGGCGTGACCGCTCTTCAGTCTACAGCAGCCCCCGCAGCCTGAGACCGGTGCCTGGCAAGAACAGCTTGCCTGAAGGTGGCCACAAACCTGGACTCGAGTTGAAGGAGGTGAGTGGCTGTGTTCTCAGTCTTACATTTACAGGCTTCCCCTCCCTTGTGTCCCCTTGACACCTTTGCATGTCACCCAGTAGGCGTTGTCCAGTATTGAGTTGCATTGGGTTAGCCTCTCTTTCCCTCACATGATGATCTTTTATTTGTAAGCACTGAAGATCACAACACAGCCTACAGTATCATCAACCCATTTCCTAGTTGAGACACTGAGCTGGGGTGACCAGATGTAGCAACTAAAAATACAAATGTGAATTGCATACTTATTTAATCCTAAAGACCTCTCTGAAGTTAGGGTTACTTTTACCATTTTGTCAATGGAAAAAACACTGAAATTTCAAAAAGACTAGTTTTATTGATGTTATAAAGAAATTGAATACAAACTAAGATTTTCTTACCTAAAGCTACCACTCTGCATCTTTCTCTAGAAGCAGTGTTATAGTAGTGTAGAATGAGGCACTTCCGGTCCTGTGCCAGCCTTACGATTTCCCGTTGCGGCTGCTGTGTCAGTTCGTTTCTTTGAAGGCTTTCCTCCTTTTCGATGCCCCTGTACTTTACCAAGCTTGATGGCCTTCTCCAGGGACGGGTTTCTTCTGGCTACATGGCCAAAGTCCGTAAGACCAAGTCTCTCCATCCGGGCCTCTCAGGAGCACGCTGTACTTGTTCCAAGACAGACTGGTTTGCCCTTGGCAGACCGTGGTACTTTCCATCTTCTTCAGCAGCACTGCAATCCAAACAGCGATACTTCTCCGGTCTTCCTTCCGCAAAGTCCAGTTTCCACTTGTGTGTGAGGCGCTTGAAAGCCCGGGCTGGGTCGGCTGCACCTGAGTCCTCAAAGTAGCATCTTCGCTTTTCAATCCTCTCAAAAGGTCTTCTACAGCAGGGTCATCCAACGCAATATGTTGTTTGACCTGTCGTCGTCGTTTGATCTCTTGACAGCTCTTTCCATGGTCCTTGATTGTGGATCCAAGTAAGACAAAATCCTTGACCATGTCAACCATTTTTCCGTCTTTCATTCTTTTTCCCTGTTGGCCCAGCTGTGAGGATTTTGATCTTCTTGACACTGAGTCGTCATCCACAGCGAAGGCGGCAATCTTTGATCTTCTTCAGCAGGTGCTCAAGCCCGCTTCACTTTAAGCAAGCAAGGTTGTGTCATCCGCACATCTCAGCCTGTTAATAAGCTTTCCTCCGATCCTGATGCGACCTTCTTTGTCCTATTATCCAGCTTTTCGATGACTTGTTCAGCATAAAGATGGAATAAGTATGGGGAGAGGATGCAACCCTGACACCCACCTTTCCTGCTTTTAAACCATGCAACATTCCCTTGTTTTGTTCTTACAACTGCCTTTAACTTCCACATGAACACAGTGAAGGGTCTGAAATTCCCTTTCATCTCAAAGCTCGCCATAGTTTGTTATGATGTACACAACCAAATGCCACTTAATAGTCCATAAAATGCAAATAAACATCTTTCTGGTATTCACTGCTTCCAGCCGTGATCCATCTGACATCAGCAATGATAGCCTTCGCTTCACGTCCTGTTCTGGACCTGGCCCGCATCTCTGGCAGCTCTCTGTGAATGTATCACTGCTACTGTCGTTGGGTGATCTTTAGCAGAATTTCACTTCTACGTGTTATCAGGGACGTTCTATAATTTGAGCATTCTGTTGGTCACCTGTCTATGAAATGGGTACAAATATGGATCTCTTCTAGTCAGTTGGTCAAGTAGCTGTCTGTCAACTAGAGGAAAGTTGTATGTTTCATCGTGGCTACACTGTACCCTGACTGGCTTATCTCCTCCCCGCGACCCTTCTGTGAGGGGATGTCCAGTTGCCTACAGATGGGCTTTGCCATCCCACTGCCTTTGCATCCTTGATTTCTTTAGGGTTCCTGGTGTATAGTGCATCACTTCTTGTGCTCTGTATTTGGGCTTTGAGTTTGGCTCAAACTCAAGTAGATTTCCATGTGGATCTTATGGCTTCATCCTAGTTGGGATTTGTTGAACTTCTTGGATGTGTGTGTTCCTGGCTTTCTCTTCTTCTGAGAGTCCCGTATGCTAGTAAACGATGTAATCTTGTTTCCTCCAGTTCTGTTCTTTACCTTCTTTCTGCTCAAGACTGAATAATTTCAAGTTTGCTGATTCTAATCTGTTTGAACTCCCATTTGAAAAGTAATGTTTTTCAATTATACTGAAAAGTTCCAAAACTTGTTTGTTTTTTGGTCATTTCTATTTCATTATCGATAGCCTCATTTTGTTCAGGCATCCTTTTCCTTTTTAGTCCATTGATTCTATTTGACAGTTGATAATCCCAATGAGTTTCCTTAGGATTGGTTGCCAATATTCTTCCCTGTGAGTGAGCGATTATGTATTGAATTATGTCCCTCCAAAATGTGTTGGAATTCAAACTCGTGTATCTGGCTTCTACAAGATATCAAGGATGTAATTTTCTTTGTTGTGGGAATAGGGCATACCTGAATAGTGTTGGTTTTAAATCTCTTCTGAATTAAAACAGATGGGGACATGGGTAGGTTGTGACAGACAGGCACTATCTGATGTTGGAGGCAGTTTGTAAGCCCACGTACCCCAAGGATCGCTGACCAGTAGAAGCCAAAAGACAAAGGCCGCTCCCTCTTTCCCCCACAGCCACCCCAGAATTTGGATTTTGACTTTCCTGGATGTTAAGAAAACAAAGGTCTGTTCTTTAAAGTCCCTTCTTGGGCTATTTGCTGCGGCAGCAAAGGAGACTACGATGTGGGCCATAGCCATACTTCGCTGCTTTGAAGTTTTAAAATATTCTAAGAACTAGACATTTTGACTACGGTGTTGTGTCACTAGAAATCTCGTTCTTTCATTCCTTGGTGATTGTGGTTTTTTTTGCTTATTGGGGGTGTGATGGTTGGAGATTATGTCAGCTAGACACTCCCGGCTGAGGGCAGGGAAGGGTGGAGGCCAACCTATCAGGCAGATTGCAGCCTAATGAGACCTCCTTGTGTGACCTCTTGAATAAGGGACCAATGTCTCTTTGGTTTTTCACCTGCTGGAGCTGGATCCTGTATCTGGTTATGAATTTCCTACACACACACCCCCACCCCCCACCCCCCACACAACCTTTTGCTTCTCTGGAGAAACCAGCTGAACGCAGTCACACTTGTATGTGTATGGTGTTTCCAACCTGCAATCTCTGTGGCCATAAAAATGTTTCTTTATCTTTGCCATCAGCCAATGAACTGACATTTCTTTAAATGCTTCCAAAGCCATTTCTTATATGGCTTCCAAAAGGGGAAAAAAGTAGTGTCTTTTTAAATCCTCTAAGGGAGAAAAGCCACTTCAGCCCTTGAGGTGCAAACAATAGTTGCCCTCTCTGCCAGCCCACAAAAGCAGTAACCTGTGTTTAAAGAAGTCCTTACTTCTCGCCCTGAACACAGTAAGCCGCAGCAGGAATGTGGCCCACAGTCCACAATTGTTCCCTGTGGATCTTCGAGACAGAGGATGGTAGGGTCACTGCAATCCGTCAGCCTCTTCCTCATCAAGTGCTGCCCTCATTGCAGCAGATCCTCTACTAGACTGCGAGGGCTGAAAACGGATTCGAAACAGTTCTCGCTAGTTATGTCAGTGCTTCGTCCCCAGAGCTTCCTACTCAGCCAGCTTCCCAAAATTAACTATATAAATCACATAACTTAACCATTAAAAAAATAGAGAAGTCAATTGTTTTTGTAAACTTTAAATTATAATTTTAATTATGGAAAATTTTAAGTGAACAATGCAAATTAAATATTCATTTCCATTCTAGACAAGTGTTTCCTAGACATGCTAATAGTGGTTGGCTTGTGGTGAATCATTCATTTCATAATTGAGATGCAGCCCTGTAAACCAGATGCAGTTTTCTTTACGGTTAACCACCCGTTGGCCAGGTTAGACAGCTGGTTTGTGCACAGGGTGAGAGGCAGTGATGAGATACTGATTTTGAAAATCCATGACACGTTGATAGAAATTAGAATTTACACAAACAAAAAAGGAGACTTTTAATATTGCCAGCAAATAGAACATGAATGTGATATGATAGGACAGCAAGGACTTTATACATTTATATTCGATACTTGACCATATTTTCAGTCACCATAATATCTCTCTCCAGACTTAAAAAAATAGTATGCTGATTTCTATAACAAAGCTTTTCCCCCCTGTACAAAAATCAAATAATGGCCAACGAGTCACAACAGTGCAATAGGTCGGGGATAAGAAACCACACTGAACAGGTGCTGAAAATAAATACTAACTAGGAAGAGGAAAGGATAGCGCACTCTGGTGGAGTGCATTTTTAACACCTGGGTTGTGTGTGGGATTTGCTTTCATTACTGTGAGAACTTGACCTATCTCATGAATGCTGTTTACGGTGACAGAGTGCAATCGAGGCACAGGAGCCTTAAAAACCCAGCTTCAGATCATGTAGTTGAAGCAAACAAAACGAAACGGAGAGTGGAGAATCGTTACTATGATTAAAAGGAAAAGGTTTTCCCCCCTATTGCTCAATTGTGTAAACTGGGAGTTCATCAGTCAACATACTCGAGATGTGAATGATTTAAAACTTAAGAGCATATGCCAGGGGGCTGCAGAAAGTCTGTGGATCAATGGAATTGAAAGATGATGGGATTCTTGAAGCCTCTCATGCACAGCTTAATTGAGGCAGAGAGGTTTACATGTTAGCCCAAGTACAGATTTTTCATGGAAAACCAGTGTGACAGATTCCTGGCATTAAAACAGACCTTTTGTGTCAGGTGGATTAGGTCCAAGCTGATGTCTCTGACAGATTGGTGGAGAAGCGTTTGCTGGTCACAAGCACTCGTGACACAGGCCCAGACCCGCTCCATGGGCAGCCAGCAATGTCTGTGACTGAACTCAGCCATTTGGTGATGTGGGCTTATTTCCTGTGGTTTGGAACTGGAAAATGAAAGAATTCGCAGGGGTGGGGTGACGGGTAAAAAAAAGACACCCACTAAGCGTCATTCTGGCTAGTTTGTGAAACCATGAGGCAACTCCCCATTATATAATCTGCACCGAAAAGGTATAAAAGGCACAAGCAAGAGTGAGTGGGTAAGCAGAAATCCTGATGGTCGAACAATGGATCAGTCCACAAGGCAGGTATAATCCTCAACGTGTTTGTTTGTCCCCCTTGAATGGGAGAAAGATCCTGATTCTGCTGTGATAAAAAAGCAAAAACAGAATTTTTGGTTTAAAAGAAGCCACTCAAGGATTAAAACAGTTACTTTAAGTTAAGCAAAGAAAATTAATCTTCAAATAAGCTGATATTATCTGGAAAACCCATCTGCCCCTTCAAGTTCAAAAATGTTTCAGTTGCTTTGTCCTGTAACCTGAGCCTGGTGGTAGTCACAGGTGAGAGAAGAAAGCATTACCGAGGAGAGAAAGACACCTTTACAGAATGTACACCACAGGAGGGCTGTGCATTTGAGTCTCAGTGTCACAGTAAGACGCACGCTCGTTATGCCTACAGGAGGCTGCTCAAATGGGCGTTTCCTTCCGGTCTCTGCTTGGCGATGGCTTTGCTTGTTCCTTGACGGCCTTTGGCTGCTCTTTAGCTGCTTTTGGCTCGAGAACACTTTCTCTTGGCGTCTGAGGGCCTCCCCCACGCCTCTCAAGTTCTTCCTCCTCCTGGGCCTGCTGCTCAGACTGGGCCCGCTGCCGCTGCAGCAGCCGGAGCTGCACTCGAAGTTCGATAATGGCCTCTCGTTCTTCATGGATGGCTTGATTCAAGTGATTGTTCTTTATCTTTGGGAAGAACAGAAAGGGCGGTGAAAGAACACTGACTTGGAGCAGAGCGCTGTCTTTGCTCTGGTGGCTGCACTATGCTGAATGGCAGTGCCCGCACCCACACAGTCTAACTGTGAAGCTCAGGAGTGTGAACTATGCTCTGGATTATAGAAGAGGAAACACCTCTAGACAAAATAGCCATACCTAAAGAACACGGTTATCTCAAGAGTCAAGTATTGTAGTGTAAGAATAACCATTTATGTTTCTGAATTGCTTTTGAACAGCCTTTAAAGAGGGGACAATAAAGTCATGTTAGCAGCAACCAGAAGCAATTTAAAGACAGGATAAAAACCCAGATTTGTGTGGAAAGTCAATGTTCATTGTAAATGGCATTTAAGTCTGAACTACTCAAGCGGCACAACACTATCCATTCTAAATTGTATGGGCTCAGTCAGCAAATAACTGCACACAGTATCCTAAAATTCCTTTCACCTCTATTTTGTGGCAGACATCAATCTAGGAGTCGACTCTCCCTTTCTTCCTGGCAAGTGGCTCAGTGACTAAACAGCTGCGTTGGGCGGGTCCGAGCCGTGGGTCCCACGTGCACATCTGGTTACTAGCAGCGAGACGTTCCTTTTCCTGAGAGCTGTCACTCAGAAGGCCAAGTAGAAAAGCCAACGTTGAGGGCAACAGACCCACACCTAATATATAGTGATACCTTGGTTGTCAAACTCCATTGGTTCCCAAATTCGTTCCAGAACAGAACATGCTTTGCCCATAAGCAACGCACAGCACTATGGAGGCTTTTCACCTTCTTGCACATCACTATTGCCACCAGGTTTTCTGTTATCCAAATTAACGAACGGTTCAGCCTTATTGATGGTCTGGGTTCTGTGTTTCACAGTTAATGATTTCACACCTTTTGCTACAATCGTCACTTGTCAGTTCTTTCCCAAAATGTTGATGATGTTCCCTTCCCCACGTTGTACTCTGCCTCCCAATCAGCCAGGCGGGGACCTGACTTAGTTTCACAGTGATTCTTTCTTAAGTCTGTCATGGGTCTTAGTTTTCCCTCTTAGCTGCCTTTGGAGTCACGGTTACAATGTTTTACGTAAACGCAAAACAAACCAACCAACCAAAAAAGGCAGACTGACTAATGTTTTAATGCACTAACACAAGCACTGATGCTGGCCAGTGAGAGTGGTGCTTCAGACTGAAGCTGGCCAGGACCGAGGACTCGCTCTCGGCACCTACACGCTTTGTGCAAGTCTGATTTTCAGTGTGACCGTGGAACAAAGCTACAGATTTTTTTTTTTTTAACTTTGGAAAGTTTGAACTGGGAGCCATTGACAATCAAGGTATACTGGATGTGACAGCCTGTGCCTATTACACAATGCGAACTCAATGCAGAACCTGCTGCTCATGCTGATCACACCAAACCACAACTCAGTTCCGGGACACGCCCTCCGCAGGCAGTCCTTGCACTGTACGTGGCTTGATGGAGAGCCGCGCTGGGGCATCACTTGGGGTGTCTGGGCGTGACTTGTGTAACGTGGATTTCTAGCTCTCTGCTCACTGTGCTGTTTTGGATCACCAGAGAACTGATTCAATTATAACAGTGAACCTGGATGCGGGAGACAGAGCTTGTCCTTTTTTCTCAGATTCCTTTCCAAGAAAAGAATGTATTCTTTCAGCCCACAGGCAAACCATCTGAAGAAAATATCTACTTGGGATGATTCTGATCAAGATAATTTAAATGTTTTCTTTCTTTCACTCTGCAGCTGTCTCCTTGCTGCCTCTTACTGTGCTCACACTCATCCACCCTTAGGTGTTTGCATGTCTCAAAGAAAACTTTCTTCTCATGATCCATAGAGAGATATACACAGCCCTTTGCTTCTTCTAATAGCATAGCTTTTTCTGTTCATCTTTTCCAGGATCAGAAACAAATAATTCAGGCCACTCAAACTAGCACAGTTAAGTGAAGCTCAGGTTCGAGAGAGGAGGTTTGTGTGATCAACTGAAGTGACGAAGGACACTGTCTACACAGAGCCTGCGGAGGGTCTAGAGAAAGAGCCCTGTGTGCCTTCAGCTTGGCCAGTCAGCGTATGCTGTGCAAGCCACTTTGTGAAGTTCCCTCAAATTCCCCCCTGCTCAGTCTCCCTGACTGCTGACTGAGGAAAATAACATTCTGATGGAAAAGAAGCACTTTCTACATCTTTTAGGAATCAGTGTGTTTTGTGGTTATCCCCCACCTCCCCACAGACTCACTTCCAACTCTTCGTTCTGTCTCTGCAAATCTTCCAGAATGATCTGCAGCTCCTCTTCATCTTCACTCTCACTCTCCGTCTCTGAGGAGTACTCCTCCGTCTCACTTCGACCGTGCTGCTGACGGCTGAAAGGGCGAGAGACCCGTTACGGCTTGGCGTGACGGCAGAGGCAGGTAGACATGCCTACTGAGTTCACCCCAGCCATTTACACTGATCAGGGCTGTGAGTCTACTTCATATTAACAGCCTTCTTGAGACTTTATAAATAAAGGTGTTCCATTTCAGAAGCCTAATTCTTTTACAGGAAAGGCTTAAAGTTGAAATAGTATACACATACTTAAACATTCTTGGAAACTGGAACCCTGTACCTCTGAATTTCGGCAATCTCCGCTCGGAGGCGCTCTATCTCTTCTTTCTCGGAGGCAATCTGCCGGCGCAGAAACTGCTCCGTGGCTAGAAGCTCCTCCTGCTCGGTCAGGATCTCGTTCTCCTGAAACGATGATCACTGGTGAAAATCTGGGACTTCCCATCTAGAAAATGTGACTTCTTTTTGGCCTCTTATGTTGCTGGGAATTCCTTAGCCCTGTTATACACTGAGGAACTAAGTTATATGAAAGGTGGTTATATTGCACAATGTCCTGTTTCTTGAGGGTGAGAAAGATTTCTGTGAGAAGAGATCATCTAAGTTGTTTGAAGAGAATGTCTAGATTTTTCTTAAAACATACAATTAAAAAATAAATCTTCAGTGTCTTCATCTGCAAAGGATCTCAAGAAGAATAGCACAGTAGAGACAAAGGTCTCATTCAAGGTTAATCGGCCCTGGCTTTCCAGTTCTTTCCAATTGCCTTCCCATCTCCCAGTGAAGAATTCGTCTATTTTCGGGTCAAAGTGGCCTTTGACACTGTCACGTGGAAAAGAAGGACCCAGGAGATAGTTCAGCTCGTTGCAGCAACATCTTTCAAAGGAGGACGGGGTGAAAGAAAGATGTATGTACTCAGATAGTTTTCCTCACCATGAGACTCAACCCATGTCCCCAGAGATAATATTAAAACAGCAAATATTCTCTTCTGATAATCATTTCTAAACATTATGCCACCAATCTTATCAATTAGGGGAAAACCACTATCTACACAGGATCTAGCCTTTTCAACCTGGAGGAAAAAAGACAAGCAAATACAAGTGAGGGAGGGGAATGAAGTAAGAATTTCAGGCTGTGCACTACGGGGACAACACTGGAGACACAGTGCAGGAATAGTGCCCGATCGGACCCCACCACACTGAGGGGAAACGTAAGGGTGCGCAACAGAACAGCAAGGGAGCAAAGCAACGAAGTCCCCAGGGAACACCAAACACAGACTGGGGCCATGGCCCCGTGGGGCCCCATCAGACGACAGGAAAACACTGTAAAGGTCAAAAGACCTTGAACTATTTATAGGCTCTTCTTTTTTTGTCGGCTTTTGTTGTTGTTGGAGTTGTTTTATTTCCTGTTGTTCCTTTGTTTTGCTCAGTCTTGTGTCTGTGCATATTATTATTTCTGCATGTCTGTCTAGATAAGATACGCAGGATAAACAAGCCAGAGGAGAAAACAACGGCACAGGAGAGGGGGAGGGGGGGTATTAATAAACCCAGGGACAAGGAAACAAGTGACCAAAAATCGATGGTGAGGAAGGTGTCAGAGGTCTGGTAGGGCTTGATCAAGGGCAATGTAACCAAGAGGTATTACAGAAACCCAAATGAAGACTGAACAGGATAGTGGGACAAGAGGAAACTCAAAGGAAAGAGAGGAAAGAACTAGGAGGCAAAGGGCATATATAGATATCTAAATACAGGCATGTACATATGTAAATAAATTTATATGATGATGGGGATATAGATCTATGTGCATATATTTATAGATCTAGATTTAAGGTAGCAGATGGACAATGGGCCTCTACTCAAGTACTCCCTCAATGCAAGAATACTTTTTTCTATTAAACTGGCATTCCATGATGCTCACCTTCCCAGCAAGATTGCTGAAGACAAAGCGGTGCATAAGCAAACGTGAAGAAAGCTGATGGTGCCCAGCTATCAAAAGATTTAGCGTCTGGGGTGTTAAAGGCTTGAAGATAAACAAGAGACCATCTAGCTGAGAAGCAACAAAGCCCACATGGAACAAGCACACCAGCCTATGTGATCATGAGGTGTCAAAAGGATCAGGTGTCAGGCATCAAAGACCCAGAACAAAACATCATGTCAATGTGAATGGTGGGTGGGTGGGTAGGGGTTGTGCAGAGTGGAGGCCCAAAGCCAATCTGTAGGCAATTGGACCTCCTCCTAAAGGAGGGTCGCAGGAAGGAGATAAGCCAGTCGGTGCAATATAGCACCAATGAAACATACAACTTTCCTCTGGTTCCTTAATGCTTCCTTCCCTCCACCCCACTATCATGACCCTAATTCTACCTTACAAATCTGGCTAGACCAGAGAATGTACATGGGTACAGATAAGAGCTGAAAAAACAGGGAATCCAGGACAGATAAACTCGTCAGGACCAATATTGGGAATGGCCATACCAGGAGGTTAAGGGGAAGGTGGAGGGAGAAAGAGGAAACCAATCCAGAGGGATGGACAACAGATAAAGGGGTAAAGGGAGACAATGGACAGTGCAAGACAGGGAAAAATAATAATAATTTATAAATTATGAAGGGTTCATGAGGGAGGGAAGGAGGGAGGGGAAAAAATGAGCTGATACCAAGGGCTCAAGTAGTAAGAAAATGTTTTGAAAAGGATGATGGCAGCAAATGTACAAATGTGCTTGACACAATGGATGTATGTATGGATTGTGGTAAGAGTTGTACAAGCCCCCAATAAAATGATGGAAAAAAAAGAATTTAAGGCTATGAAGATGAGGCATTAATTACATAGAAAGGACATTTCTCAGTATGACAGGTACTGCGTGGATAAAGCTTGTGTGGTCAACCTAGAAAATACCATGAGCAAGTTCTGAAGTAAATTTCTTGAAGCCGCTCATACTCTTGAGTCTTTCTCAGAGGCAAGAGGCAGTGTTTCTCCAATGTCTTAAAGCACATGCTTTTCCGTTTCCTTGGTATACCTATTAGAGGTAACATTCTAAAAATGCATCGGCCTGAAAATTCTCAAAGACATAATCATTCTCCGTTTTTCAGAATAAAAGCATTATGTGCCTACTAGGCAAAGCAGTGGATCTTTCAGAAGTAACTGGAATGGACCTAAACTCGTAGGGCTTTCAGCACATTACAATCACGAATTTCAAGGGGTTCACAAAAACATTCTCCTTAAACTATTTTTTTCCCCTCCTTAAACTTTGAGAAGGTTGACCTGAGCAATTCCAAAGGCGAGAAATGAGCTCATCTCGGTTCTATGCCTGGAATAAAGCAGCACGCAATAGAGATTTGCTGAACCAATGAATTAATAATAAAGATCATGCCACTCCAACAATTGACTTCCACCTACAAAGAATAAAATCAAAAATAACTTCAATTATTAAGTAAAGTCCTGTGATAGCCAGGTCTGGTGTCAGTTTGGCTGGGACAGAATTCTCAGTGGTTTGGCAGTTGAGGCCTTCGCCATGATGTCACCGGACACTGGAACTCCACGATGGGATCTCCAGATGAGAAGTTGAGTCCTTGTGGGAGGCTTAGTGTGGAGTGCTGTCCTCTCATCAGGTCCCACTCCGAATGCAATGGGAAGGAAGCTTCATTGGGAATGTGGCTTACTTGTATTTAAGCAGCCTTGGGGAAGGCTGGTCTCTTCTTGCTCGCCTGGAGCCAACATCTGTCTCCTCAACCTGCAGTTCTTTGAACCTAAGCCACTGGCTCACCATATCCCCACCAAACCTGGTGCTATCCGTGGCCACCCTAGTGCCTCCTAACGCGGGGTTCTTTCCACTCCGAAGCCATAGGCCTGACCTGCTGCTTCTCCCAAGCCTTGCTGCTGGGTTGGTCAGTTCTAGTGGGAAAAGCCTCCGGCTGAACAGCTGACCCATGGACTTGAACCAGGCTGGACGACTGCTTCTGCACCTGTGAGCTACTTTCTTGATATTAATTTCCGTTTCAAAGTGACACTGGTTTTCCTTCTCTAGAGAACCCAGCCTAGTTTCAGGATGCCAAGCTTTGTGACATTAGCAACCGATTTAAAAAGATTTACTGAAAGCTTGTCTCACTGCTATGCAATAATTATGAATAATCTGAAAATGACGGCAAATACCTATAGCATGACCTGCTGTTATGAACTAAATGTTATTAACTAAAGTAAACAACCTACCTAACTAAACGAGAGTAAGCTAAGCCAAGTATCTAGAACAGTGTCCAATAAGGCATAATTACTTAGTATATGATAGTTTCTTCTCCAATCACCTAGTATTTGACAAAACCCAACGAAAGAGAAGGGTCAAAAACAATACGAACCAAATGGGGAAACATCTAAACAAATGACAAAAAAACGATTGCCATTAAATTGATTCCAACCCAGTGCAACTTTACAGACTGGGCTGTGAATCTCCACGAGGCAGCCTCCACTGCCTTCCTCCGTGGAGCAGCTGGTGGGTGGAGCAGCTGGTGGGTGGAACTGCCAGCTTTAGGGGCTGCTTAACTGCTAAACTACCTGGGCTCGCTCCTCTACAACAAGTGTGGTCCCTCTAAAACTTCTAATAGGTAAATAGGTTCTAATAGGTGCAATAGGCAAAACCTCTAACACTTCCCAATCATCTGGTAATTTGGGGCGTAATGGCATTATGCCTCTGCAGTTCAGGTAAGGCGCTCGGGTAACAGAGGGGACCACGTACTATACTGCTCCTGGCGAGGCCTGTGGTTGGAACACAAAGGCATTCTGTGGGAGAAAGATGAGATGGTGCATCTACCATCTCAGAAACCAAAAGGGGCAGGGACCGTTTCTGCCCTGCAGAACAGGGTAACTATGAGGCAGAGTTGACTCAATGGCAGTGAGTTTGTTTTTCGGGTAGTTTAGCTTCTCAGATTATAATTTTAAAATTAAGAAAGCAGGATACCTGGGCAAGAAGGATATTTATAACTTCTTCATTTTCATTCATTTCTTCTTTGGAAACATCCTCTTTTGAGAGACTGGCTATTTCTTGTGCAATCTTGGTTTCACACTCCTGTCAAGCAAATGGAAAAAGACTGTTCAGCCTCGAGATAACACATCTTCAGTACTCCACGCAGCTGTCCAGAAGATTCATTTTCTTAACTGGAAAAGGAATATTTGTGCATCAAAAGGTTTCACAAAAGGGTAAACAGATAACCAACAAACTGGGGGGAAATGTTTCTCATTGACAGACAAGGGAATAATCTCAAAATTTTATCAAAAATACCAACGTCAATAAGAAAAAGAAAAATAATCCAATTGAAAACCAGAAGACTTGATGGGCCAGTATAAGATATGACAAAATAATAATTTATAAATTATCAAGGATTCATTCATGAGGGAGGGGAAAAAATGAGGAGCTGATACCAAGGGCTCAAGTAGAAAGCAAATGTTTTGAGAATGATGAGGGCAACAAATGTACAAATGTGCTTGATATGATGGATGGATGTATGGATTGTGCTAAGAGTTGGACGAGCCCCCAATAAAATGATTTAAAAAAAAAAAAAAAGGAAAATGAAACCAGAAGACTTGAACAGGCACTTCAACAAAGACATTCAGGGGCCATCAAAAACATATCAAGAAATGTTCAAGATCATTAGCTGTTAGTGAAATGCAAATGAAAATCACAATGAGATATGGTGTCTCCCCAGCATTAACTGTTGTCAGGTGCCAATGAGTCAGAGCTAACTCATAGCAACCCCACGTACAACCGAATCAAACACTACCCGATGCTGCACTAGCCGCATCACTGATGCTGTTTGAGCTCATAGCTGCAGCCGCTGCAGTGAATCCATCTCACTGAGGGGCTTCCTCGGTCTCCACTGCTCTGCTAATTTATCAAGCATGGGGTCCTTTCCCGGGGACTAGTCTCTTCTGATAACATGTCCCAAGGAGAGGCGACAAAGTCTCACTGTCATCTCTTCTAAGGAACACTCTGGCTGTACTTTGTCCTAGACAGATCTGTGTGTTCTTATGACAGTCCATGGGATGCCAATGACCATCATTCCAACTCACCAAGTCGTTTCTGATCTTCCTTCTTTATTGTCCACGTTTCACTTGCCTACGAAGCAACTGAAAATACTATGGCTTGGATTCAGTTCACCTGAGTCCTCAAAGTGACATCCTTGTTCTTCAACATTTCAAAGAGGCCCTATGCAACAGATTTCTCCAGCGTAACGTAGTGCCTGACTGCTTGCCAGCAGGTTCCATTAATATCGATTGGGTGTGGTGCCAAACAAGACTAAATTCTTGCCAATTTCAGTCTTTCATTAATTTATCATGATGATTCTGTTGGTATAGTTGAAAGGATTTGGGGTTTTTTACATTGAGTTGTAATCCATATTGAAGGCCTGCAATCTTTGACCTTCATCAGTAGATGCTTCAAGTCCTCAGCAAGCAAAGTTGTTTCTGCGACATATTGCAGGTTGTTAACAAACCTTCCTCCAAGTCGGCTGTTACACAGTCTAGCTTCCAGATCATTTGCACAGTATATAGACTGAGTAAGTCTGATCAGAGGATGCAAGCCTAACACACACTTCTGATTTTAAACCATGCAGCATTCCCTTGTTCCGTCCTCACAATTACCTCCTGAGTCCTATGTGTAGGCTCTGCATAAGCACAATACGTGTTCTGGAAGTTACTATTTTTTTCAAGGTTATCCATAGTTGTCATGATCTACACATGTTATAATCTAGACATGTCGTATGTCTTCCTCTGAATCCAGCTTCAACTTCAGGCTGTTCCCTGTCAATTTATTACTGTTATTGAATTATTTTCAGCAAAATTTTCTTGCATGTGATGTTCACGACTGATAATATTCACATTCTGTTGAGTCACCTTTCTTTGGAATGGGTACAAATATGGATCTCCTTTACTCAGTTGGCCAGGTAGCTTCTTCTCAATTCCCCGCCCCCAACAGTTTTATTGGCATATAAATCATATATCATACAATTCAACGGTGCAATCACACCAAGAAGAGTTATGCAATCATTACCACAATCAGTTTTAGAACATTTTCTTCCTTCTTGTACTCAGTGGTATGAGCTCCCACCACCACCCACCTCCCACCTCCCCTGCCATACACTCAGTTACTGTCTCTACCTATTTACCTATCCTGGACTTCATATATAGAAAAACTAAACAAACAATCAATCAAACTCAACAAGAAAAGCAAAGTTAAGAAAAAAGGTAAAACCTCAATCAAAAATAACATTTGCGAGAACAGACTCTGGAGACAGCCAAGGGGATGGGGGCAAAGGAAGGAAGAGAAAACAATGGGCTAGCTCGACAATAAACAGGTGTTAACTTGGGTCTAACAGAAAGATCTCAGTCCACAAGAGGGAGAAGTGAAAACAGGAGATAAGTGAAGGGGAAACTATTGGGGAGTTTGATTAGTGGTTTCAACTGTTGAGTACAAAGTTGATGATCTGAAATATAAACCCCCACCGAATTTACAATTAAAAACTGAATATAAAGTCCATTGCTCTGTTAAATGTGTGTGTGTGTGTGTGTGTGTGTGTGTGTGTGTGTGTGTATAGGGTCTACGTAAAAATAAGTCCTCCGTGATGCGAGGAAAGTCGTTACTAAACCGAGTACATTGGAGAGATGACTGTAACAGCTCAAAAGGGTACAACTGACTTGAACAGGTAAACCTTATCAGTTGATCGCCCCTCTGATGCACGTTATCCCTGATCTGATTTTCAACATTTTCTGTATTGGGTGGGAGTTGTTCATACTGGGGTTTATCTAGCTCAGGTGTGTTGTCATTTGGGAGGTCACCCTCTTGAGTTCTTGTTACATGCTTTTCTGTGCTGCAGTACATGAAACCCAGGAATTGACGAGCCTGAAAGGACAGCATGTAAAAGTGCTTGGGAGGGAGAGGGCTGTAAAATGGAGCTGATGTCAAGGATTTCAGGAAGGAAAAAATGTTTTGAATCTGATTGTGGCAGCAATTGTACAATACTGCTTGATGTGATTGAACTACGGTATGATAATCCGTATGAACTCCTAATAAAATGGTTATTTGGGCGAGGGGGGGGGGAGTAAATAATATTAAAAGCTAGAGCAAACCAAAAAGGATAAGGAAGATCGAATGATAGTATGCTAAAATTTCAACCTAACTGCATCTGCAATAGCCCGCTAATAGTCCACTTTCCAATTCATTCTGCATGTGAACCAGGCTATTCACATCCATAGTCCACAGTCAGAGGGGATTCCCCAGGGGCTTGATTCACATGTATTTTCTCTTGTTCTTTTTTTAAATTAACTGAAACAGGTTTAAAATGGGTCAAAAAAAGGAGATCAAATGATAAGAGGTTACAGTTTAACCTAACTACATCTGCCATGATCAACTCTCCAATGCTTTGATAACAGGGTTATTCACATCCCTCAACTCCAATCAGAGGGGATTCACCAGAGGGGAGGCTAAATCCATGTGTAGACCCTGCAAATGGACTTGGGGCCTCCTGCAAAACAAGGACACCTGGTGTTGTAGTGGTTATACAATGGGCTGCAATCCGCAAGGTTGGCAGTTCGAAGCCACCAGCAGCTCCTCGGAACAAAGACTAGGCTTTCTACTCCCATAAACAGTTACAGTCTTGGAAACCCACAGGGGATCGCTGTAAGTCAGCATTGACTCAACGGCAATGAATTTGAGTTTTCTGTTCTGCAAACCAGGTATTCACAATTTAACCTCTGATGCCAAACTCTAGTTTAGCTTTCCATTACTTCAATTCCATTACTTTGTTCTTTGTCTAATTCTGTTATCTCTATACGAGTCTTTTGAATTTCTACTTCATATTCTTTCTTGTAAGGTTTCTAGTTTCTAGTTTCTAGTCTTTTCCATTTGCCCAGTATGTTATCGATGTTGTTTTCCTTTCATTGAAAGCCTCACTCTTCTGAACTCTTTTTCTGGTAGTGTCAAAGCCCTTCCTCCCTTCTTCACACTTCCTCTGGATCCAGATGTTGCCAGATAGGAATCGTTCCTGTTTCTTTGTGCAGACTGAGGCTGCTAGCTCTGTGACAGAGTGGGATATGACTGGTAGGATAACTGGAAAGCTTGGGGATAGTTAACTCCATCAAGTGCAAAAGAGGAATAATATAAAGTACAAATAAAGAAGAGGGGGAAAATAAATTTTTTACATGTAATCTATGTTTTTAAAAAAAGAGAAGGAAAAAAACCAAAACACTTCCACTTTGGGCAGCCCTGGGTAGCAGCTGGGAGTAGTGGTTGGCATTTCTTTCGAGCGCCATGGGGGCATATTATCCCCTAAGTGGTCTCGGAGAGCTGTGGGACATTTGTGGCTGGTGTGTAGGCAGCCACAGGAACACCAGGGTGCTGAGGTCCTAGGGGAAGTGCTGAAGCACAGGGAGATGCTGGGGTGCCAGGAGAGCCGGGGGCATCAGGAATGCAAGGACACAGGCCTGTAACCGATCACGAATGGGATCCACTCGTGAGCATGTGGGCCTGTCTCTCTCTGAAACATTAAGGAGCCCTGGAAAGCAGGCCCGGCTCAGCCCCTTCTCCACTACCCTCTCTCGCTCCACAGATCTGCCCATCCCTCACCCCTGCCTGCTCCCACCGCCTCTGGGACGTGAAGGTTTCAGGCAGTTCACTTAGCCGTTTTTTTCCCCCCATTTTTGTCTTCCCGGATTCTAGGTACCTGGTTTTTCTTTGCTGGTTTTCTCCAGCTTGTTCTGGAGGGGTTTTGCTCATGTGTGGATCTTAGTGGCCATCCGGACCCAGAAGCAAACTTCTTGCAGCATACAATGTTTTGCCCACAGGGTCTTTCAATATTGCAACATGAGGCTTAATTTTTTTTCTTCAGTTCTTTCAGCGTAATATGCTGAGCCTCTTCTTCTTTTCTGGCTTTCCAACTCAAGTTCTTTTCACATTTCATTAACATACTTTGTCTTCTGAAGCTGCCCTTTGAAATTTTCCATTCAGCTCTTTGACTTCGTCGTTCTTTCCATGTGTTTTGGCTACTCTGCAAGTTTCAGATGGTCTTCTGACAT